ACATTCAAGGTAGATTTTGTTTACTCAGAAGCGACTGGCATCCAGCTCAACTCAGACATCAATGGCAATTCCACTTGGGGTAAAAAAAAAGAAAAAAAAATGTAAAAAAAACCCTGTCAAGTATGAGTGGGCGCTATGAGAATGAGCAGAAGAATGCTGCAGTTCTGTGTTTTGGCCACAGGTGTCAGCATTATTAGAAAACTCTGTGATGCCTCTTTAAAGGTATCGAGGACGATCTTTTATTTCCGGGTGATCATCTAAATAAGTGGTCCTCCTTATTGTCAGTCATTCTGGTGATATGTTTACGTAAGGCCGTCCTACATGCTCGTCCCCAGCTAGCTATATTTTTTCAGTGCATGGCACTTTCAGGTTTATATGTGTGGTTAGCTATATTTTCAGTCAATCTTGCCTTTCTCGTGTCTACGAAGAAGAGAAATGCATCGGAGGAGAGAAACAAGACCAGAGTAGTTTTGGTATACACTGAAAGCACAGGACATACACAGAAACAAACAACCATTCACTCACAGTCTAAAGTCCTAAGATGACTTTAGAGAAGCCAATTAACCTAAAAAATCATGTTTTTGAATGCAGAATCATGCTTTCTCCATGCAGAAAGACCCCAGGCCGGGAGTCGAACCCAGAACCTTCTTGCCGCAAGGCAGCAGCATAACCAACAGGTAAAGTTTGGCTATTTGGAGAAATCCATTTCACATCACTGCTGATAAAAGTTATCTACCTCTATATTGTAACTTTCCAGGGAATATAAGTTTATTATTTTTGTAATCTGCATCGTTAGTAGTTCCTAGATCCTTATTTACCTCGCAAACATGTCCAAATTTCAACTGCAGCACAAACACAGATACTAGCATGTCATGATTTTTTTAATGCACCAGTAGTCTTATTTGCGGGGAAACATTTTTATATATAAATATGGGTGAAATGAGATTAATCCTAGAGGCCGTCTTATCATGGCGTGTGCCCCTGCACATCCACAAGGAGAAATGGGCTCGTGCATGCTCTTGCACATGTTTAATAGACGTTCCCTCGTGGGAGCGGGTACAGGATTGTGCATGTGCAATTTATTTTAAAGTGGGAAGGGCGGGTCTTTTAAAAAAAATTTGCGAAAATCCTCCACTATACCTTTAAGTGAACCTATTTGTTCTCTCATACAGACTAGTCATCAATGCAGGTCACTGACAACACAATTATACAGCGTAATGTTACTTTTTAGTATTTTTTATAACCAGACAACCAACTGTTCTGCTTTTTTTGTTGTCTTGACACTGTAATATTTTAACCTTCTGTCCAAACAATTGGAGCAAAGAAAGAAATTGATTAATTGTATTTGACAAGAGGTAATAATCAAAAGGGTTAACCAAGTTTTACTTTCAACATCTCTGTCAAATCAAATTTCGAGAAGATCTATTGGCTTAAAAATCATGCATGCTACTTTGATGAATAAAAATGAGAAGTGACCAAATTTTTCTTAACCATACCTAAATTATGGTATCCCATTTCAGTCTAAACAGCAAAAACATGTGTGTGAAGTTATGTCTATTTTCCTTTGATAAATATCTCCTAAAAAAAATGTTCATCAGCATATATCCCAGTAGTCGCTAATATTGGCCTTTCTGCAGTGTTGTGCTGCAGGTTGCCAGCTCTCTACAGGCCCAGCCAATGTTTTGGTGCTGCTTTCAAGCAGGACCGGCTTCCTCACACTAGCGCCACCTTTCACCGGGCTGAGGAGGGTGTAGAGGCTTGAAAGAAATCGGGACTCCCCACTCCGATTTGAAAAAAGAAAAAAACTTCATACCCCCTCCCAATCTATCCATGCTGGGCAGGATGAATTAACCCAGGGACAAAAGGCTTTGTGGGTCGGCCATGAAAGGACCATTAACCATACTGCTTCCCCCTGAGGCCCTGCCCGCAGGACACTGCCTCCCAGAATGCCTCTCTCTCAGCAGGCCGCAATCCCAGCATGCACTGCTCCTCTTCAGCACTAACCTCTGTTGCCCTAGAGCTGCACTATAGAGCCTTGCACAGATTGTCATGTAGATGATTATAAATGCTGTTATGAAAGTGATGGAGAGTTAGAGGAGTGTCAGCAGAGTGTGAGCATGCGGTGTGATTTGTGCATCTTGCCAACAAAGACTCTGAGTTAGATAGAGTGAGGAGCACAGGGTAACTTTAGTTTTCTGTTAGGTG